TATATATATATATATATATCGGGATCTGCAGCCGCATTCTCTCTCACGAAATAAAAAAAATTTTCCCAGAGTACGTGAGAAGTATAGGACCAAAATTCTTCACGCTCTCGCGTTCTCTATACGAATTATTAAATTGGAGAATGTGCTTGAAAAAATTATTTAAAGATTTAAACGACTATACTTTCGGGCAACATCTGAAGATGCGCAATATGTATATACGAATGCCTGCAATTCACGAAAGGAACATTTGTCTCAGAATATGCGTTTCTTAATATCCAGTTAAGTCAATTTGCTGGCTGTATTTCGATAAGTTACTAAGTTATCCGCGCGTACATCCAAAGAAACGAGCTTGGGTAGTCGTACTTTGTTTCTCTTCTAGTTGCAGGCAACATTCACAATGTAAAATGAAACTTGCCTCGCAACTTGTCACTGTCCATCGATATAGAACCAAAAATTATCCAAAAGAGTATTTGAAGCCTTTTATGTGCACATGAAAAAAAATGTCAGTATCCTTTCTATTATTAGGCCGATATTCATAGTTGATTCTTTATTCTTACATTTAAGATCATCTTCATACTTTCAAGTACCTATTTTAAGTACTTCTTTACACGTATAAACGCAAACGTTTGTATCATACAACAATTAAATTAAATAACATTCCGCAATTGCAATTTTAAATCAAAGCTATATGTATTCTTTTCTTCGTTCGGCAAGATATATCGTACATATATACTCCATATGTATATCAGTAAATAGAATTATATTGTATATATAATATACAATACACGTAAAGACATTTATTCGCAATGAGTGTCGCAAAGATATTAATTTTGATTTATCTGTTGCAGCGAGTTGTTTCGTCGGTCAGCAGAACGCGCATTCTCTTCTGGTATTAGTGCTGGCGCCACAATTCGTCTATCTGTCATTCGGCGCAACCTTCCTTTTAATTGGCTTGGCAACATTGGCATTACCGCGACGCCCGACGGTAACACCGACGTCGACGTCGATGTCGACAACATCATCGTCTTCGTCGACGACGGCGGCGGCAGCGGCAGCGGCAGTTTTAACGGCGCTAACGGCGTCCCACGCGAATCCATTGCGTTCGCAGCGAAGTGAAATCTCCGGCAAATTATCTCCAGGAGAAATTCACCGGCGACAAAAGCAGTTATTGACTCGCGTCGGCATATTCGGTTGTCTTTACGCTATCCTGATCATTTGCCTCGCCAGCACGACTTTTTATGAATGGTGGGGAAGAGAAACGTGGCTGCGAGCACCGGAACCGTCAACGGCACCTCGCATACCTGCTCGTCCTCTGTTGCAAGTTTTCATCCTACGATTAGTAGTGACCCTTGGTGCCGGCGTGATGGCCGCCGCGTGGATCTGGTGGCCGGAAATAACGAACACTTGCCGTAAACTGCCGCACTGTAAACAACCTCCGCATAAATGCCATCCCATTCCCCTTGTACACACCTGCCAATACAACGCTGCCAATCCTATACCTCACCAAATTCATCATCTCGCTCATCTAACGCCGCCGCAGCATCCTCTATTGCAGCATGCAACGTTAACCAATTCGCAATTGCCACATAGGAACCATAAGAATAAGAAACATCGGAAACACCGGAAACATTATCATTCCGGTAGCGAAACGCAAGTTTGAACTTCGAACGAATGTTAACACGTTTCTTTTGTGCCTTACTTTTGTCGCGTCGCATCCAATTCGATATAAACACACTGCACATTAAGCGATATTTTTAAACTGATCTCTTGAGATCAGTTCAAATCTCGTATTAGGTACTTATTGTTAATCTTAAAACTTCATCCAGCATCAGCGACGTACAATAATATTTGTAGATATTAGTAATCGAAACGATCTTACAATGTGTGTAAGCTCGGACTGCCGGAATCGGGAATACTGCCTATTAGAAACGAATTACATTACAAAATATGTAATATACTTTTGTATTTGTCAAATTTTCTCATCATATATTTTCTATACACATAAAATGATCTATTTCAAGTTATTTAGCATCTTAATGACGTCGATTCGATCCTTGTTACCGAATCTCTTTTTCTTTCTTCTCTTAATAATACAGTAATAGTACAATACATCAATTTATAATAGTATTTTTCCAATTTATAAATAGGATAGCGTACCAAAGTCCCATAAAAGTTATCCTTGTCATAGGATAACATAAATTTGTAATTATGTTGCTTGATAACAATTAATGAGTCTTGTTTTAATTTTTTATTGCGAGATTTGTTGGATTTACTTTACGTATCATTATTGCAGTACGTGACATATAGCTCACAGCGCAATCACGATGTCTTTTCTGTACATACATATATACACCATTGAACTTATTCGTTCGAATATTCATGGGGGGACGAGAGAACGAATGCTAAATTTAAACCTTAAAGAATCGTAGAATAGGCCGGGTAGGAAAAGTGCGTCCGTTTCGATCTCCGTCTGCAACAGTCTGCATTCCGCGGGCCTGAACTCTTGCAACGTCGTGATCAATCCTGTGTGTGTGTATGTGTGTGTGCGTGCGTGCGTGCGTGCGTGCGTGCGTGCGTGCGTGCGTGCGTGCGTGCGTGCGTGCGTGCGTGTGTGTGTGTGTGTGTGTGTGTGTGTGTGTGTGTGTGTGTGTGTGTGTGTGTGTGAGAGCTGCTTCACATATACACATGTACATACCTTATATACATATAGAATGCTGCGGATGCAATTATAGAACGATCGTACATCGTACCTTGATTCTGTGATGTATAATTTCTAATAGTGCGATTTTTGCATGCAACCCCTGGTGAAAATTTTTCTCATAATTTTTATACGAATTGGAACATTTTTCAGAAATACTCAGAAATATTCGGAAAATCTACGTTTTCTCTCAGATCTTCTCATACAAGTTCTGAAATTTCTCATCCCATAATTTTTAAAAAGTATTTTTTTTTAATTTTTTAGATTTTGTAACATTTCAGAAATTATATTTACAAAAAATCTTA